GGGGCTGTGGCTGTACACTGTGGTGGGATTTATCCTCTCAAGACCCCAAGACTGATGCAGCAGCAATTGATTTGGGACACAGCTTTCTGCTTGTGATGGCAAAAGCAGCCATTCCCTGGTAGCCTAACTCTGCTGTGTGGTATCGGGCTTATTCATGAAAGTACATCAAAGAGTCCCCTCTCAATTCTTCAGCCCTCTCTCAAATTCCAGAACTGTTTTTTAATCCATTTGCTTAAACTGGCTACACTGCATTCTGCTGTCTGCCATATTTAAGAATGCCAACTAATCTCCTCGTTTTTAATCAATACTAATATTTTGAAGAGTTGTCGAAAGGAATGATTGGTGCAACTCAAATGAAGCATTGAATACAAATTTCTGCCAAACTAGTTAGTTTGATGTCTTACTATTTAGATCTCCTTATTATTTAAAATTCCTCTTTATTTCTTCATCTCTGTGTGTCTCTGTGTGTCTGTGTGTCTCTCCCTCTCTGTATAAGTCTGTATGCCTGCATGAGTTTATGGGTACCACATGCTTGCAAGTGCCCATGAAGGCCAGGATAGGGTGATGGATCCCCTGGAACCACAGTTACAGGCACTTTTGGAATGCCTGATGTGGGCACTGGGTACTGAATTTGGGTCTTCTGCAAGAGCAGTAAGTGCCCTTAACTGCTGACTCATTTCTCCAGTACCCCTTCTTACTATTCTAAAGTGGCTTAACAGAATACCTAGCTTTAAACTATGTTTTTGAATTTGTCCTGCAGTCATGGTCAAGTTGCTTAATTATTTCAAGATTTGGTTTTCTTATCAATAAGCTGGGTAAAAAAGTATACATATTTCAAGATGCTACTGTGAAAATGAAATGAAGCTATATAAGTTAAAAAATTATTTCTCAACCAGTTCTTCGACTCCAAGCAAATAATTCAATTCAATTAAACTAATTTCCCATATTTTTCCTGCCAAGTGCCAAACTGTCATCGTGTTTCCTCGGAATCCTGGGAACTTTTTTGTTAAACTGGAACAGCCCAGTTTCTTTGCACTCTGTTATCCTCTGCTGAGTCAATTCAAATCAATCTTTCAAGCTGTTCCTCTGATATGAAGTACTTTGGGGACTCGTAACCCACTAGATCAGTTCCTTGGCCCTGGAACTCCTATGAACAGCACCATGCATTTATTTTAACAGTTTGTTCTTTTTCCCTTGAGTCAGCGTTGCTTATGTATTTCCCTTTAGATCTTTCACAGTGACTTATAAACTTACCTACCCGAGTCATTTAAATAATTGCTGACTAGATGATACAACATATCATCCACTGAATAAGACTAGAATGATAGAAAACTTAGAGGTAAGTACTTAGCTAAAAGGCTTTTAAAATTCTGTACATGGAAGGGGATCAGGAGGTGTGGAAATAATGCAAATACATTAATCATGTATGAAATTATCAACAA